AAGTCAGGTGATTATGTATGTCTAGTCAGGTGACTATATATGCAAGTCAGTTGATTATGTATGTCAAGTCAGGTGACTGTATATGCAAGTCAGTTGATTATGTATGTCAAGTCAGGTGACTATATATGCAAGTCAGTTGATTATGTATGTCAAGTCAGGTGACTATATATGCAAGTCAGTTGATTATGTATGTCAAGTCAGGTGACTATATATGCACGTCAGTTGATTATGTGTGTCAAGTCAGGTGACTATATATGCAAGTCAGTTGATTATGTGTGTCAAGTCAGGTGACTATATATGCAAGTCAGTTGATTATATATGTCAAGTCAGGTGACTATATATGCTGAGTCAGGTGACTATATATATGCCAAGTCAGGTGACTATATATATGCCAAGTCAGGTGACTATATATATGCCGAGTCAGGTGTCGATATATGCTGAGTCAGGTGTCGATATATGCCGAGTCAGGTGACTATATATATGCCAAGTCAGGTGACTATAAATATGCCGAGTCAGGTGTCGATATATGCTGAGTCAGGTGTCGATATATGCCGAGTCGGGTGACTATATATATGCCGAGTCAGATGACGATATAAGTCAGGTGATTCCCAATGCCATATGCTATAAGTTACATTAATAATTTTCACTTATTTTTCACCATTTCAGAACGTATAATGTAGCTAACCTGATGGATGACCTCAAACACTTGTATAGAGTGAGTGGTCAACAGGGTCAGGGTATCTCATTTATATTTACTGATAATGAAATTAAAGACGAAGCTTTCCTTGAATACCTCAACAACGTTTTATCTTCGGGAGAAGTAAGTCTATTTTTCTGAACTTATCATCCATGTGTTGTTTTTGAGGATGTAACAAAAATAAGAGGAATAAAAAAAATAACCAACTAGTCAACTTTTCTAATCTTTCAATTATTTTTTTCTATATTTTTTAAAACATTTTGACCTGGACTTGTGAGTAATTATGTAAATTTTGTTCAAAATTAGCAAAATACACATACATGTAGATGTGCAAACTGTTGTGAAAAATTTGTGGTGCTCAAAAGGGTAAATCAGCATTTTTGAATCAGCTTATAATAAAAATATGTCAAAAAATTAGTTTCGAGGTGATTTTAGATTACAATAATTTGAAAGTTTGCTATTAAACTAGTTGACAGGGTTAGTACATTAATGCATGAGATTCTGATAAAATATACATAATTATGTTGGAGCAGCTAAATTTGTAGTGAATTTTCAGCTGATTAACTGCTTAAATTATTGTAATTTTTGCATTCTAGTTTGCTTGTTGTTGGGATTCTACAGCTATTTGTATATGTCATCTTTCATGCTCATCTGTTCTTGTCATTGTCAGGTTTCCAATTTGTTTGCCCGTGATGAAATTGACGAAATAACAGGTGAATTAATTCCAATCATGAAGAAGGAATACCCCCGACGGCCACCAACCAATGAGAATCTATACGATTATTTCTTGACCCGAGTACGTAATAATCTGCACGTAGTGCTCTGTTTCTCACCAGTAAGTATAAAGTTCTTATTCTTATTTTCATAAAAATGGACAATTATGATCTCCCATGCCTATATTAGGCAAAACTGCCTGTGGTTGTCGTGGTTGTACCAGTCAATCAAACTTTTGAGTAAATTATGTCTTTATATGCTGTGTTTATGTTGCATGGGACCCACATTTTGCATGGGAACCACATGATGTATTCCTGCATCCACATTTCTGTAACATCTAATTCGCAATGCATGCAACCACCCACTGTACTTACTACATCATTGTCTCTCTTCTGTAGGTTGGTGAAAAATTCCGTAATCGTTCCCTTAAATTCCCTGGATTAATATCAGGCTGCACGATGGATTGGTTTAGCCGCTGGCCAAAGGATGCTCTGATTGCTGTGTCCAATCACTTTTTATCTAATTATGATATAGTATGCACTGATACTGTGAAGAAGAGTGTCATCAACACCATGGGTGTTTTCCAGGTCAGTATTCAATGAAAGCAAACGTCTATCTCCTGTCACTTTTGTAGTTATTATTAGAAATGTTTATAATTTTTGTAACCTTTTCACCACCAGAATTTCTCGCCCAAATTTGTTTTGTATTTTTCAATATTTCTGGAAATGAATCATAATTTTGGAGCCAACAGACAAAATTTGAGTCAATTTTCACTCCAAAAATGTGGCTGTTTTTGTCCCAATCTTCTGAAGGAAAGTGCAGACTATAGAAATGTTTTGTGAATTTGTGATAAGAGGGAACTGGCGGTGAAAATATTAAAATAATACTTTTTGTTGGATATCTGATACATGTTGGTGCTTCTTGCTGTACACATTTAAGAAATATTTATAATATGTTTATTCCATACTATATTTCATTCTTAAAGCGAGAAGGTCGTCATGTGTGCACGCGAGAGAATTGAGTCCCAGATGACGATAACAACACTAAAAACGCAAAGGCTCATGGGCAGATGTTCGTTTGTAAACAATGACACGCTATTGCCATCTGACACATCTGCAGATGACGACTTCATCGCTTTAAACATATATAAGAAATATATAATGTACATTTCCACACAACCAGAAAACTTAACATCTAACAAGAAAAGAAAAGATTTTACTTTTCTAGTGTGACTAAATAAGGTTGATTTTTTATTCTTCACTAGGATCTGGTAGCAGAAACCTGTATTGATTACTTCAACAGATACAGACGTCAGACTCATGTAACTCCAAAGTCTTACTTATCCTTCTTGGAAGGGTACAAAAACATTTATCAACAGAAACGAGATGCTATTGGCGTATTGGCAAAAAGAATGGAAACAGGCAAGAATGGTTTTTGTAACGTTTTGAAATTTTTTCAGAATCAAAAGAAACTGATTCTAATAAAAAGAAAATTCTTTCTCACAACACTAAAATTGTTTATGATCACCAGGTCTTGCCAAATTGGTAGAAGCAACAGAATCAGTCAATGAGCTCAGCAAGGAACTTGCTGTGAAAGAAAAAGAACTGGCTGTGGCCTCCAAAAAAGCAGACGCAGTGCTGGCTGAGGTGACAGTGAGTGCACAAGCGGCAGAAAAGGTCAAAGCCCAAGTACAGAAAGTGAAAGATAAAGCCCAAGCTATTGTAGATGAAATTGCTGTAAGTTATTGTTATGTATCGTGCATGATGTGTTCTTGCAATATAGCGTTGCGTTGTGTAGAAAAATAGACAAAGTCAGAGTTCTGAGAGATCCACTTTATTGCAATTCGTCAGAGTACATTGAAGTCAAAACCAGAACTACTCCCTCCAAAAAATCTGGTAGCTTGGAGTATTTGCATAATGTTGTCAAAATAGAATACATAACTATGATTGGCTCAATTCAAAGTGGAAGATTCCACTATCATAGAATACATAACTGTGATTGGCTCAATTCAAAGTGGAAGATTCCACTATCATAGCAACAAGTAATTAGTCTTAGTTACAAGGTCAAAGGCTATAGATTGCAACATTAAATCAATAAACAAGATACAATGTAATACCATGTCATACAACATGGGTAAACAGTAGAAATCTGAACCAATGCATATAATTTTTAAATATAAATTTTTAAATGTTGATTATAAAGGAGCTCTCAGCGATAGTAATGATCTGTTCTTGTTAAAAAATTGTGTATGTTTCATGGCCACTATATGATTAATGTCAAAAACAAATACTGTATATGCGTTATTAGAAGTGCATCAATATCATTTAATTTTTATACTCCATTTAATTGATAATACTTATTTGCATAGATAGATATTTTATTTGACACAAAATTTAGTATGAATGAAATAAACAACATACAATTAATCAATGGTCAAGAAAAACACAAACAAAACAATAGACTAAACTAAAGCTTAGAAATAAAATCAATAAATTTTCCCAAGCAATTGACAATGAAGCTATCTTTAGTGCCTAGCAAGCACTTGAATTTCTCATGAGTTGATAACTTGCAAATGTTGTCATCATAAATTGCTAATTCAGCTTCAAATTTAGTATGAGCTTGTACAATCTATTTTTACATACGAGTAATACTTGAAATGCATATATAAAACTATGACTATTTTATTTTTAATGCTGCTATATAGGCTGATAAAACAGTGGCATTGGCTAAGTTAGAGGCTGCTAAACCAGCCTTGGAAGAGGCTGAGAGAGCTTTGGAGACAATAAAGCCAGCTCACATTTCCACAGTACGTAAGCTGGCTAAGCCACCGCACCTGATCATGCGAATCATGGACTGTGTATTGCTTCTGTTCCAAAGAAGGTTGGATCCAGTGACACAAGATCCCGAGAGGCCATGCTGCAAACCATCCTGGGGCGAATCACTGAAGTTAATGAGCAGTGGTGGCTTCTTACAGGGTCTGATGACATTTCCAAAGGTAAGTATTACCGATAAGTGCTTATTTAATATATAAAAAAGTTGCCTAGTAGACAGATAATTAGGACAATTCACGAAAGAAATGTAAACCATGTTCACAAAATGAAATTAAAAATGAGTTACATATTTTCTATAGGAGTTTTGTAATTACTATGTCTGCCCTTTTTTCAATTGCAAGATTGTGATTACTGAGACAAGACATGGATATTTTTTGTCCAACATTTGGATTTCCTATGATGGAATGCACATGCTCAGTAGTTCAAAATTTATATTCAGTTTTAACTTATCTAATAACTGAAGATACTGTACAGAAAAAAAACTTATTTAAACGATGTATATTATTTTTCATAGGATTATATTACTGCTGAGACTGTTGAATTAATGGCCCCTTATATTGAAGCGGAGGATTACTCAATGGAAACGGCTAAAAGGGTGTGTGGTGATGTAGCAGGTCTTGCCAGTTGGACCAGGGCTATGTCGTTCTTTTTTGGCATCAACAAAGAAGTACTACCATTGAAGGTAAATTAATTGCACTATATTTTACCATATTTGATTTATTAAGTCTCTTCTCCAATGTTTGCTACAGCTATATTTTAAGTACACCAAATCTTTTATTATGACTTCCCCACAGTTCATTTCTTCATATTAGAGGAGGAAGTGTTCTACAAACCATGGTGAACCATACTCCTTGCTTTAAAAAAAACAAACTCTTTTTAAGTTTTAGGCGGTTGTGCAATTAAAAACAAAAGATTTTGATCAGTGGCCACAAGAGGGCCACAAAAGTGTCATAACATCACAAAATTTAGAGAAATGATCATGTTGTGTGTGTACTAAGCCATATGACGCTATGATTACCCCATAGGCTAATTTAGCTGTTCAAGAGAGCCGTTTAAATGCTGCTACAGCGGAGTTGAACAGTGCCCAAGCTCAGTTAGATGCGAAACAGAAAGAACTGGATGCTGTGCAAGCACAGTATGATGCCGCCATGGGAGAAAAACAGGTAATTTCATCTCACATTTTGAAATCTTGTACATTTTTTTCCCATCAAAATGTGGATGCAATTGTACTTAATTTTCCAATGGCTACAAATCTTGTTCAAAAAAAAAATATGGTGGAAATGATAATTTCTAGCATTTTGAGGTTGATTTATGAATTGCAAATTTTCTCATGATTATCGTCATTTTACATGTATATTTTGCCTTTAACTGAATGTTTTTTTACGTGTTTTTTTATGTTTTTTTTTTTTGCAAGGCTTTACTGAATGATGCTGAGAACTGTCGTCGAAAAATGTCCAACGCTACAGCGTTGATTGAAGGTTTGGGTGGTGAGAAAGTCCGATGGACTGCAGCCAGCAAAATGTTTAGTGATCAAATAAACAGGTAAATTAAGAGATGGAAATGCTATTTTCTGTAAAGTTGATTAGTTTATTATGTACGGGTAATCGATTAATTAATATTCATCCAAAAATGTTGTGTACATTCATTGCAGTTCAATCTAGATTATTATTATACTTAAAATTTCTAGTATTTTTGCAAGGCAGATTTTTAAGTTTATGGGTCAAAGCGATTGCCTAAGGCATAATGATATGAAAAAATCATTGTCAGCATGGAGACAAGCTCTTGATTTATTGCGATATATTGTTGCTTAGCAACACTTTTTGTAGTTTATCTTTTTTTCCACAGATGTTATGTAACTACCATAAGTGATCATCTGTTTCACAGTACAGTTTTTGTGATGTTGTTTTCAATGTCTTATTTCAGACTTGTGGGTGATGTTTTGTTAGCCACTGGTTTCCTATCCTATACTGGACCTTTCAATCAAGACTTCCGTAACCAACTTCAAAAAACCTGGAAAAGAGAGATGGTATCATCCAAGATTCCATTTAGTGATGTGAGTCATTTGATTAGATTGCTACCATATTTGTTCTTTTAGAAGTGCATCTCTAATAGAAGCTCATTTACTGTATTTGCTTTCCTACTGAGTGATACCTATTTCTTCTAACTGTCTTCACTAAGAACACTAGGATCCAAATTTGTTTCTCTAGTTTTGACAATTTCACAGGATTTTCAAGTGATTTTGGTGACAAAAAGGAAGTCCAGACTTTGTCAGTGTACTTTTTTATTTATTCGCTTATTCCTATTAAATTTTATATCAATATTCATTTTTTTAATGTGATTAATTAAAATAACAAACAACCAATGTTTGTATATTTCATTACAGGATATCAATTTAGTTAGTATGCTGTCAGACCCTGCTACGGTTGGGGAATGGAATCTTCAAGGGTTGCCCAATGATGAACTATCAGTACAGAACGGTATTATTGTAACAAAAGCTACTAGGTTTCCATTATTGATTGACCCTCAAGGTCAAGGGAAATCATGGGTCAGGAATAAAGAAAAAGACAATGAACTGCAGGTAGGATTTGTTTCTTGCTTATTGACTATTTGTTTATCCTCATCAGTGTGCCTCCTAACATGACTGATTTTGTTGGGATCAAAACGGAACCCAAAAAATCAAGATTGAATAGCTAAGAGGGTCGAACCGCAAACCCTTGACCCCCCCGCCCAACCCTGAGGTTGTGCAGATTGTAGTTACGGAAATTATAATGCACTTGTAAAATATAATAATATTACTTTGATGTATTTACAGATAACAACATTGAACCACAGATATTTCCGTTCTCACCTTGAAGACAGCCTGTCTCTTGGCAGACCTCTCTTAATTGAAGATGTTGGGGAAGAATTGGATCCGGCATTGGATAATGTGTTGGAGAAGAATTTCATCAAGACTGGTAGCACGTACAAGGTAAGACGCACGGTTCCAGATTATAGTAACATCTTTTCATTTTCAATATGCCTCTATCATAGTTTATATCATAGCAAAAATGAATTCCATAGTGTTCTATGAAATACTGTGGTTTGAACGAGATAAAAGAATACAATTTATTTTGTTGAATATTATTTGTGAGATTATGTACCAAAATGGCATTTATAGAAAGCTTACTTCATTTGCTTATATAACCTTTTCACAACTAGACTTCCTCACCCAAATTATTCTGCACTTTTGGGCTTCTATTCTTCAATATTTCTGGAAATGAACCCTAATTTTGGAGCCAACAAACAAATTGTGTGTAAATTTTCACTTTTTACTCAAAAAATTTAGTTATTTTTGTCCCAATCTTCTGAAGAAAATTGCAGACTATAAACGAGACTATTTTGTGAATTTATGATGAAAAGAGGGAACTGGTGGTGAAAAGGTTATTAATAATATTCAAAGCAAAAACAAATTTATAGCAGGGTAGAATAAATGCATTCCTTATTTTACAGGTGAAAGTCGGTGACAAGGAGGTTGATGTCATGGATGGATTTAAAATGTTTGTAACAACTAAACTGGGTAACCCAGCTTATACTCCAGAAATAAGTGCCAGAACGTCAATCATCGACTTCACTGTCACCATGAAAGGTTTAGAAGATCAGCTGTTAGGTATGGTCATCCTAACAGAGAAACATGTAAGTATATTCTATCACTCTAGCATATTGTTATTCATACTCTTCAATTCTGCTAATATTTTTAAATTAAAAAAGTGTTTACAACCAGTTGGCTTCTAACAGGATCGATTTTGTTTCAATCTTTTAAAGTGGAATTCTAAAAATCAGTTTAGGTCAGCTTGGTGACTATTTGGGAGAGAGATCATCAAATAAAAATATTGTATGTGGTTGTATGGAGCTTCTGAAGTCACAATCTAAGCTGTTATGACAACTGTGTTCTGTTCTTTTTATTTTGTTTTTAAAATGTAAATTTCTTTTTACCAAATTAAAAAATTTTCAGTAAGATAATTTTGAAATTCACTATATTTTTTTATGTGTCAATAGTCCAACAGAAATGACTAACTAGTTTCGGCATAAAGTCGGTGTGTGTAATATTCACCATAGAGGGCGCACTGCAAACAAGTAAGGTTTATTGCTCTAAAACAAGTTTGGTTACCTTGCATTTTTTTCCAGTCACAGAAAATAATTGCTGTATCAAAAATATGTTGGTTGCATCTTTATTAAATTCATCCTTATGTTTCAGATGATTCAGTCATGTGATGACATATTCGATGTTCAAAACCGTTAACTAAAAAAATACAAACTCAGTTGGCAAAACAAGAAATACAAGCTTGGCAAAATCAAAATATTTGTTGATCACTTGAAAGCAGTTCGTGCTGAAAATACAAAAATGTTGATACAAACAAAATCACCCGTAGTAATAAAAACCATAACTCTTTTAACAGGAATTGGAAGCGGAGCGAGTTAAACTGATGGAAGAGGTAACTGCAAACAAACGTAAGATGCAAGAGTTGGAGGATAACTTGCTGTATCGCCTCACAAGTACGGAAGGCTCGCTCGTGGAGGATGAATCCTTGATTGAAGTGCTTAAAGTCACCAAAATAACCGCCCAAGAAGTTAGCGAGAAACTGACGACGGCTGCTGAAACTGAAATCAGAATAAACACAGCTCGTGAAGAATTCAGACCTGGTGAGAAATTATTTTTGTCGTTAATAATATTATTGAAAATTAAAAAGTTAGCAAATATTGATGATTATTAATCATAACTGGCAGAAATTATTCTTCTATCATATGATCGGAAATACTGGAAATATTTTGTATTTGTTTACAGTTGCCACCCGTGGCAGTATCCTATATTTCTTGATTGTTGAGATGAGTATGGTGGACGTCATGTATCAGACAGCTCTGAAGCAGTTTTTAGGAATCTTTGATCTATCCATGGCAAGGTATGCACACAATTAATACTCTAATACGCAAATTTTGAAAAGTAGGTGATTAAAATCCTAACAATTATGTTGCAAGCTATAAAGAGTCAGCTAATTTTACTACCTGTCACCGTTTTGAGAAACGCTATATACCGGTATATCTACTTTACTTGTCATGACTTAGATTTTTTTTAATTATTTCTTCACAGATCAGATAAGAGTCCAATAACAAGTAAACGTATTGTCAATATCATTGAGTATATGACATTTGAGGTGTTCAAGTACACTGCCCGAGGACTCTACGAGAACCATAAGTTCTTGTTCACCTTGCTGCTGACGCTGAAGATCGATTTACAACACGGCAAGATTCGACTTGAAGAATTCCAAACCTTGATTAAAGGTGTGTCTCAATCTTGAGTGATAAAATTGGTGTTACAAATTGAAAATGATTTCTGGTCCGCAACGTCAATTTTTAAACTTTTTGGAAAACGGTTGTTTAAGGTAATGAGGGGAAACAGAAATTTCAGCTATTCAAAATTATATCCTGACTGTCGGCAATTTGACACCCTTTGTGTTCAATTTATGACTGGCAATGGTCGTTCAGCTTGGTCACCTTTATTGTTCAAAAGTCAACTGTGAGTGTCTGACTCACAACACCCACACAGTGCATGAGATGTGGAAGGTTTTGTGAGATTATTGAAAAGTATTTCTTAAATTATCTGAGCTTGAAAAGTCCCAAAATAGGTATGAAATTTGATGTGTTAATTGAGGCTGAAGGGAAACCTGCTCACACTAAATTTTATTTCTTTAATTGCTCAAGGTGGTGCCGCCTTAGATCTGAATGCAGTTGAGCCGAAACCCAAGAAGTGGATCTTGGACATGACATGGTTGAATCTTGTGCAATTAAGCAAACTGCCCCAGTTTTCACAGATTCTGGGCCAGATATCCCGTAATGATAAAGCCTGGAAGGCGTGGTTTGATGAAGATGCCCCCGAAGAGGCCATTATTCCGGACGGATATTCCACATCGCTGGATACATTCCGAAGGCTCCTACTTGTTAGATCCTGGTGTCCAGATAGAACCATAGCCCAAGCAAGACATTATATTGCAGAATCACTAGGAGCCAGAGTAAGTAGTACAGCACATAACTACATGTGTCTTCTTTCTATTAGACAGCACACTGTGACATCATTTGTTTGCAATTTTGCCAGCCGTGGGACATGTCTTATAAAAAATATCAAATGATTTAGACCAGCTCGCAATGTACTTATATAAATTTTCTTACAATAATTTGGCTCATCTAGTAGTTATTATTTTTGTTGAAGTTTTTATAGATGCATTAATTATTAATTTTGCTGATGAATAAAACCAGCTAAATTAAATCTACATGAAAATGTGAAATAACAATAGAACTAATTCTTTTCCGTGACAAATTTGTGAATTAAAACACAGTGCATATGCTCAAAACATCAAAGTAGTGAAATTAAATGAAAGTGGTTTTACAGTAACCATTTTCTTTATTTTGTTGAATTAACTGTTTTCTTTATTTGTACTTTGTAGTATGCGGAGAGTGTGATATTGAATTTAGAAGCTATGTGGGAGGAGAGTACTAAGCGTACACCTATGGTTTGCTTGTTATCTATGGGATCAGATCCTACAGATAACATAGAACGTTTAGCCAAGAAACAGAATATGCGATGTCGCACAATAAGTATGGGTCAAGGACAGGAGGTGCACGCACGCCGACTCGTTTCCTCCTCCATGGCGGAAGGTGGATGGGTACTATTGCAGAATTGCCATTTAGGTTTGGATTATATGGATGAACTTCTCGATGTAGTAAGTTGTATTTTATTATTTACTGCACCAAAATAGCTACATAGCTTGCAGTGTTGGCTGTGCATTTCTCAAATCATTAAGTGATTAGAACAAGTTGCATCAAAGCAACATCAACAGGAGATTTCAAACTAATACTGTAGGAGTTGTTGAATATCCATCCAAGATTCACTTTTTTTTCAATTATTTAATTCAATTGCAACTCAGATCGCTGACATGCTGTGATTTAATTTTGATTACAGACTTTAACCACTGAACAAGTCCATGATAAATTCCGTGTATGGATCACCACTGAAGTCCATCCCAAATTCCCGATTAACCTACTTCAGAACTCTATCAAGTTCACCAATGAGCCTCCCCAAGGTGTCAAAGCTGGTCTCAAGAGGACCTATGCAGGTATAACGCAGGTAAGAGTTTCACCATGTGTGTCTTTGTAATAGTTTTACTTGTCAATGAATAGGTGATTTTTCACATGCTAGATCTTGGGATATGTGAAAGGTGTGGATCTAACATCTGTCGCAAATATCAAATGATTTAATTTCAAACTTTTTATAGTTCTTTTTTTTCATCCAAATTGACTATTACCAGTATCAAATGTGTATAGTATATTAGGAGTGATAATACAGTCAAACCTGTCTATAAAGGACAGTCAGTGGACTGAGCCAAACTGTCCTTTATATACAGGTGGTCTTTATATGGAGGTGGCCTAATTTATTCATGTAATCATGAATATTAATTAGGGTGGGAATTTTAAGGGAGATCATCAGCAAAACAAACCTACAATGAATTGGTCTTTTTAATAAGTCACTCATTTTCATCTGGATAATTACACAGCTTTACTTTTTTACTACAAATTATATCATGTAAATTCACTGAAACCAAGTGATTCTGCCCATGG